CCTGAGCAAAGTGCAGTTGCCTTAACTGTTTCAGAACTGGGTGCGGTTCTCTGACGAAAGTGATAGCTGTTCCTGCTTGCACGTGCTTCAGTAATCCACCGGTGTCGTGTTTTCTGTTTTGTCACAGTATGATTCTGGCTTTGATAAATGACTGAGGAGTCGAAAAAAGAACTGTTAGCTGCCAAACTGGGTCATCACTCCAGCGACTGGTGTGGAGCCGCAGCCACCTTCTGAACATACCTAGATCAGTGTTGTCATCCAGTATATTTTTCCTCTTGGAACAATAAATATTTTTCTGTATTTTTAACATAAAATATTTTCAAAAGACATTGGATTTGCGTAGCAGTTGTTCTTGTTCCTTTACAACCCACACTGCTGGAGCTGCTCCTTCTCCAAGATGAAATCCTTGCTTACAGAACTGATCTCGTAGGAATTAAATGCCAAGAAGGGAAACGTGTTTCAGCAGCGTGGGCTGACAATAGTGGTAGTTCCAGAATGAATTTAAGTGCTGCTTCTTACTGGAAAGCGTCAGGATGTGCCTCTGGCTGTCAAGCTGTCCTATTAGAGCCTAGTTTGAAGCAGCACTTGGAACAGGATTTCAGAGTGGAAGAGTAGCACAGCTTGCGTCTTTGTGTCGGTGGCTTTTCCAGCGAAAAGGCAATGGAATAAAAATTGCACTCTTCTCCCTTTCTACCCCTCTCTCCCACAACCTACATGAAGTCTTGTGTTTGGATGGATTAAGGTCCCTTTGGTGACAGTGATGCTTGTGTGTAAGAGTCAGAACCAGATAAGTAAGAAACAAGAGGACTACTTGCTTTTTCCCTTTGACTCCCATCACTGAGATACATCACAGACTTCCATACCAAGTAAACAGCAGGTTGCAGCAGGGTTGGAGTTGGTTACACGCTACCCCACGAGCCTGCTGTTTTCTCATCCAGTGGAGTGAATCAAGAGCCTGTCTGTCCTGGGGAGGTGTGCTGGTAAACCAGTTATCCCGATTTCAGTGTGACTCTGCTTCAAAGGCACCAGCAAACCACGTTCTTCTTGTGCAGCTCTTGCAGCACTGATCACTGTTACGTAAAACTGACTTTGTATCGTACCCTTACTGTCCCATAATCATCCTTAAAATTTTTATATGTGCGTAAAACCAGATTTTTTTTTAAACATCAAGTGAAACACTTCAGAGTTTTGTAATTAAGTCCTAAAATTTATGGGGTTTTCCTTCCCACGTGCCGGTTCTTTGGTGTGTAGCTGTAATTAGCAGATTGCTTTTGTGACCAGCAGTGAAAAAGGCTGCACTGACTCTTGATTTTCTCTAGATGCCTCGTGTGCAGTGTTTGTTCTAGGAAAGGTCTAGCTTTAAATAAATAAAGGATGGAGGCCAAACTGTTGCAAAGATGAAAAACTGCTGAAAATTATGTTTATTAAAAAATGGCTAAGGAAAGGGGTACCACGGCTGCCTGCTGGACACCACAAACATCAAACCGCAGAAAGTACTGCCTCATAAAGCTGAAACCCACAGAGTGTGTAGGTCTGAAAAAAGGAGATCAGACGGAGTTTAAAGAGAGAGGGGCGTCAGTGACTTCTGCAGCAGCTTACACGGTAGGCAATTCAGTTATCTTGTTACCGTGCTGCCCAGGCTCTGGGTTTTACCCGTCAGAAGAAAGGCCAGCGTGAGTAAGCTGCTTAAGTCCTTGCTGTAGTGCCAGCAGTAGGTAAATGTCAGTAATGACGTTTCACACTGAGAAACGTGGTCATTAATCTGTAAATCCACCACTTTACCAGTTTTAGATCTTAAAGGCATCATTTTGAGGTAGAGCTTTGTTATTAATGGAAGTGTTGAAGAGACATTGTCTTCAATTTATTTCTAACTACAAGCACCTCAGGATTACAGTGATGACATTAGCCAGGGGACACCCAGTCCCTAATGGAATTGGTACCATTTATCACTACGAAAATCTTCTGTTCTCCTCTACTGAGGGAAGTGTTTCTTCAGAGATGGGAGCAGCACAGGGAAGGGGAAGGGAAAAAAACCCTCTTATCTGGAAAAAAGAAGTGGGGGTATCTTGTCTTAATTTATATCCCTGACCTAGAGGGATGGTACTGTGGATTCTTCCCCACTTCCTTCTTCAAGAGTGAATTATTAATAGTGATAGACCCAACAAAAAAAAAAGAAATCCAGGTGTGCTTTCTAAGCGGTGGTTGTCAGGTACAAAACACATGATGCTTTCATACAAACTTTCCACCCTGCTTCTTTTATATGAATACATAATCCGTTCATTCGTATCTAACAACTCGTCGTAGTAGCAGAAACCCCACTGAGGTTGTTACAGAGACTGTAGTTCTGCGGGGTACTCACCCTGGTCACTTTGAAGCCTTCCTTACTGTACGGGGTCATTTCCTGCCTCAGCAGAGACCTTCGCAGAGCTCAGCGACAGGAAAACTCTATTTACAGTTGCTAAAAACGTGGTTCAGTAGCTGGAAATCGGGATCCCAGTATCATCTGTCTCTTGGGAGAACCACGGAGCACACGAGTTTGAGAGTAGTGAAAATCAAACTCCCTGCTTTCTGGGTCTCCATCGGGGGGAGAAAAGGGTAATTTCATGCCTTTAATGCTGCTTCTCACAAGCAGCTCTGTAGGATTTTGTACAAATTGTAACCAAAGGCTGCTTTTGCCTCCAAGGATAGCGCGGTAACAAGACGGGAGGTGCTGACAGAAGACCGTAGGTATGGCAACTGCCGTGCGGTTAGCGGTACGTTCATGCTTCTGCCCGAGACCAGGCGGCTGGAGACGCACAAACGTCAGCGGGTGCTCCTCAGCACACTGCGTCTGGCGTGGAGGGGAGGAGGCGGCCGGCAGCACCGTCTTTGTGCGGCGAGTAGACAGCCGGAGCGCCTGCGAAGCAGCGGGGAGGTGCGTCAGGCAGGCCGGAAAGCACAGGCCAGGGTGCGAGGCGAGAGCAAAACACAAACCGCCCCTCGGGCGAGGTACCCCGCCGCAAGCAGAGGTTGGGGATGAGCTAATTATGAAATTCTTGGGGCCTTCATGTAATTTCTTCTAAATTATCTGACGTGTTTGAAAAATACAATTTGTGTGAGACCTCACCTTCGCTGCGGTTTCAGTGCTGCGAAAGCCAAGTACCTGTTCCTCCTGCAGCCTCCTCCCCAGCGGCATGTGAAACCCAGGAGCAGACCCAGCCGGAAGACTCACCTCCTTCCTCTGCTGGGTGGGTCACTTACAGCGGGAGCAGCTCTGCAACCCATCCATCCCCCCTGCCGTAGCCACGGGAAGCGGCGCAGGGAAGGGAGGGAAGGGAGCGGAGAGAGGTGCGGCTGGAGGGAGCAAAGACCATCTGATTAACAGCGAAGGATTCAGAACTCGAACGCACCTTGGCCAAAGGCTTGAGGCCGGGAAAGCCACAGGCAGGGCAGATTTAGGCACAGCTTTTCACTTAACAGAACATGAGCTAGAGCTGAATACAAACGCCTAAAATACATGCAAAGTGCAGGGCAAAGGCGAGGGTGTGTTGTAAGGCACAGGGCAGAGAGACGAGAAGGCAGGGTTAGTTGGAGGGAGTAAAAGCAACAGCCGAGGAGCAGCTTCAAGGCGCTCAGCCAGAAAAGCTGCTGACGCCCACTTCAGAGAGAAGCCTGGCCCTCCCTGATCTCCAGCTAAAGAGGGGTCTAGGCAGGAGATGCAGGTACGTCAGGAGCACCTTCTTAACGTGAAGTTATCAGAAAACCCCACCGATCACCTCCAGCAACCCGTGCGGTAGGTAAGGCAGCTCCAGGGTGAAGGAATCGAGGCTTTCGCAGAGCCTTGAAGGAGCCAGGCTTTGGACGAGCTAGGGAAGCGCCGAGCGGGACACAGGCAAGCTGAGCGCTGAACGTGCAGGGGGAACGCGAGCGTGAGGCAGACGAGAGCCGAACATCAAGCACCGCAGAGCCTGCGCACGACACAGCGTGACTTCAGCTTCAGCTAGGCCGCCACGAGGCGGTTTTCCTAGCGAGGGAATAAAATACTACAAATGTGGAAGAAACCCATAATTAACGATCCAGAAGCTAACATCCAAGTCAGTCACAGAAGTGAAGTTAGGGAAACTAAGAACTGTTCATTCCAGTTATTTATTCTGTTTATTGAATTGAAAGAAAGGGAATACAAACATTTCTGTTAAGTGCTGTGCACCAACATGGAAAAAGTGTATTTTGTTTTTTAAAAATCCTAATAAAAACAAATCAGAAGTTAATGTAGTTCCAATTGAACAGTTTTTAAAGATATGTTTAAAATACTACACATTTATAAAATAAAAAAGTTAAAACGGTGTTCTGTAAATAATTAGTAAAACAAGTGAAAATAAATACGAGACCCGAAGTTCTTATGTTTTTAATGTGATATAGCAAAGAAATTTTTAACTACTTAATAGAATCCGAGGAGTAACAAAAAAAAAATCCAGAAAGTTTAAGAACGCAATCCTTTGAAACATTTAATATCAGTCCATAGCAAATAGTCATTACATACCAAAAGCTCTAAGTGTTAACTAGTTCCACCACAACTCCATATAAATCTTGACAATTTAGAAATCTTGAGATCAACAATAAAGTTCTTTTCTTGATCTCTACAGCTTGGTTTGTAAGTACATACATGCTTTGAGGATCCGTTTTGTCCCTTACATTTTCAAGGAGCCCAATCACTTTTTCCATCTGTGCCTAAAAATGTTGAAAGGTTCAAATCTAGCACAAATACCCTAAGAATAAAAAATGTTGAAGGAAAAAAAAAAAAGAAGATAGGGCACGATGAATTTCGAATTTATAAAAATATACCGATATTAACCAAAACCTTCCGGTCAAAGGACACTTCACAGACACGCAACTTAAAGGATGCGGTAAGATGTGACAAGTACCTAGAACATTCGGTTCTCCGTCCATCCGTCCGTCCACGGAACACATGCACACACGCACTCACACCCAACGGGAGGAACGCTCTCGCAGACGCCACAGCGAACCCAGATCGCCTGGACCGGCGGAGAGAAAAACTTGTCTACGGTTTACTTCAACAGCCAGAGGCAGGTCCCGCAGCAGCGGCGCGGCACCGCGCACTTCGGTTGAGCCCACCCCGTTTCAAAAAAGCATCGATGAATTGGTTTCTTCCTGAACATTGTTAAAAGTAGCGGGTTTAAACAATTAAGTATGGCAGTATGGCAGCTGAAAATGGACTCGAACCGATGCGGAAAAGCCAGGAGGAGGTCAAAAGGAGGACTAGCCATTTGTGGGATGGGTGTTCCTCCAACAGTTGTCTCAAAAAAAAACCACCAAACAAAAACCAAACAAAAAACCCCCACACCCTAGATACAACTGTACTTTGTAGCTAAAAATACCGACAAACTATTGAAAGTGCATTTTCTCCTCCTCCCCCTTGAGTTACAGTAGTTTGTTGGTCGGTAAATCCTGCAGTTTGGGTCCATTCCTCCTTCTCTACCTCCCTCCCTATTTGGGTCTACGCCGCCTCCCCTCAAAGCACGCCTGACCCTACGGGCCCTGGGTTCCCGCTACGGAAGCCCTCAAAGCTGAGGTGAGGCGGGAGCACGCCGTAGGAGCGTGAAAGCGCGCAGCTAGGCACCGACTCCCAGGGCTACGCCGAGCTTTGTCAAACGTCACCTGTTGGAAGCCAAGTTGAGCAGTAACTGGCAAGACCTGGGTAGATTTCTAGCTTGCATCTTTGCTCTGGGCATGAAAAAGAAGTTAACTAACATTGGAGGGCTTTTCAGAAGCCAAAGGGAATTTAAAACCAAGGTGTCTTTCCCCCCCACCCCCCTCCAAAACAAGGACAGATCTGGCGTCTTCCCTTTCGTGCTCCATTGCGCCTTGAAAATTACTTACCTGACCACCTAAGAGAACATTTGGGTAACAGAATGCTTCAGCCTCTTTTTTTTTTTAAAAAATGATCTGCCTTGACAATAACCTGGGCCCACTGTGAATATCTGAAGCCAAGAGCCGACCCCAGAAAGTCACAAAAGGAGTACACCCTTACAGCGTTTTCCTCTCTCAAGCGACCAGTCTGTTGACCAGAAACACGGGGACATGTTGGGGGTGCGTACTTGCTCCAGCCTACAAACATTTTTAAGCACATGGAAAAAATCAGCGTTTCACAAATGAACAAACTTATTTGGTGTTGTCCTCCCCCCCCAACCCACTCTGTGCACAAAAAGTACAGGTACTTTTCGATTCAGGTATTGTGAATAGGTGAGGTGTTAAGAGTTCTGGTTTCTCTAATCCACACGTCGGAGCAGATCTCACATGTCAGGTTACTGGGGGCCCCAAGTCGTGTGGCACAAAGATTTCCCTCTTTGCTCATCACTTGTGGGAAGCAGCTACGCAACACGCTGTCGGAGACACCCTGGAAACCGCGCCAGCCGCACGGAGCTTCCCCTCACGCTGCGTAGGCACCAGAACTTCTCCCTAGCTCCGCTTCTAACGCCCGGCAGGGTGGTTCAGCGGTACAGACCCCAGAGAGAAGCCCCAGCACGGAGGGGCAGCCTTTTGGCAGAAGTACCAAGTTTTTAATCGCAACGCCTCGCGGTGGAAAGCGGGTACCGGCCCCTGCGCACCCACAGGCCACTGGTGCCACGTCTCGCTCCGTTCAGACACGTCCGCCACACGACAGGTGCGTGCGGGACCTTACATCTAAACTCGGGTTTTGATCCCACCTTCGGCACCTGCCTGCCATTCCCACTCAAGTCCCAGGAGTATGAGGTAAGCAAGTAGTGCCAGACCATTGCACGAGACATCGAAACCAGGATTAAATCTCCTTACTCTCCCTGATGTTTTATTTGAAAACAGCAGTTCCGGAGTAAGACAATACTAGGGTAACTTCCAGAGATTCCCATACTGGCACTGGTTAGGAATTATACCACGGTTTGAACATACAAAACACTGTTTACCGTTCAGGTGTTCAATTTTTATTTCAAATCCAAAGGTTTAGCTTGCGCAGATTTGACCTTCGGAAGTTGTCTGTTTCCCTGCAACACTGATGCCACGGGAACAGGATTGACTGACCTTCTGCGGTCTGAACTAGGAAGAGAAACAAACAGCTTCCTCTAGAACTAGCTACTGGAAAACGGAACCGATTTGTGGTCTCACATTTACACATGTATTCCCAGTACTGTGGAACAGCAATTGCTACGGAGAGAAATTCACCTTAATTAAGACAAATGTACTAGAGTCAAGATAAGAACGTTAAGTTCCGACTTCGTTTTGGAGGTAGGAGAGAGGAGCATGGCAGATTCAGGCAGGGCTGGTCTCGACCAAAGTATCAGAATTAAAAATCGTGTTTACGTTTGCACACAAGGCAAAAAAAAAACCCCTAAAAACTGATGGCTGGACCCTCAAAAAGATTATCTAACCTGCTAAGCTTCACTTTGTTTTTCTGGGAAAGCAAAAAGGGACTGCTTATGCTAAACACATTCCCATTCATCGAAGTGGCTACACTTCTCCTCCCAGGAACTCCAGCAAACCTTCCCCCTCCCTTCTTCCACACATGACTAATAAGGACACTAGATTATCTCCTCATTAAAGGATGAAGTCCACTCTTCTGCTGACATCAATCCTTGGTGGCATGCCTTTCCCTGCTCCCTCCTTACTCCACAGCAGTACCAACACCACCTTTCCACCTGAGACGGCAAAAGGGAACCCAGTGCCATCCCACAGTGAATCTGTGTGTAGTGCAGAAGCACGGAGATGCCAGGCCATCCGTTTATGTCAAAAAAGAATAAATACTTAAATTATAAGTGTCCTTCTCTTACGATGGGACAGTAGTGGAACTATTCCTAGATGCGTCAAAACGTTCGCAGCACCAGGTCGCAACAAGGTCTGGGAGAGACATTTAAATCTGCCAACGTGAAAGTACATTCTCAAAAAGAAAATCTACACACCTTTGTTTATCAAGCAAAGAAAAGTTACCATGGTGATACAAGTGTTTAATTACCATCCGTATGTTAATTCCTTTTACAAAAGGTTGACTCTGTGAAGAAAGGATTCAACACATTCTTCCCTCGAGGTGTAGTCTACCTTTTACCAGCATTGTTGCATATATTGATGTCATTAAAAAAGAAAAAAAAAACCCAAACCAAACAACCAACACAAAAAGAGCTTGTCTTGTTTAAACTCTCAGTCTGGTGGTGCACTTGGAACACTTTTTTCCCCCCTAAATATCTGTAAAGATGGACAGCGAGTTTCTCCTTCTAAAACAAGCTTCACTGCCTACATAAAGCTCCTTCCCAGCCGCTGCTTTTGATTGGGTCGCAAGACACTCCGGAAAAGCATCAGCGATACCGTCTTTCACGACACTACTTGCATTGTTTTAATTCCAAATGTATACAAATGAAGTCACTTTAATCCTATAAATAATTTATTTTTTAAAAAATTGTGCTGTTAACCCCTTGGCAGGGCAACGAGCTATGTGAAAAGTACAAAACTTTTTGTCAAATGTGATACTGAGAGTGCTTTTGACATAGTTCATTGGTTGATCATCTCAATTGATAGATACTGCGCAACGGGCAAGGCTAGAATCCATGAACCAAGCTGCAAAGATCTCAAGCTAAGTAAGGCGGAGAGAGACTTGAGAAACGAGAGAAGGAAGTACTTTCCTATCCAATGGATACTCTTCAGACTAAAGCACTCTTTCTATCAAGCCTTCTAAACTGTTAAATAAAGTGTTCCAAACAAGCATTTAAACTTCATTACACAGAAGAGCAACAAGAACAGTAGCCTGCCAGACAAAAAGGCAGGAGGGAAAAATATATATACCGAGTTCAATGGTTAGCCTGAATGTAGCACAGTTCTTCACAACCGATGGTGGGGGGCTGGGGGGGGAGGGGATTTCAACACGGTGTCCAACAACGTTCTAACGACGTGCTTCATCTCGACTGGTTACTATGAAGCAAGGTGGTAAATGTTTGGCCCCAACCGGGCTTCAGAAATGGTTCTTTTTCATGACGAGCATGTCTGTCCAGCTATCAATCATGTTTGTTTGCACCAAATCCCAAGCCATTTAAAATACGACTAATTAAGTTAAGCTGAAGTCGTCTGCTCCAAATTCGCCATCAACTATCCATGCTACTGCATTCCTCTGGGCGAAAACAAAAACACAGAGAAATTACACCTTGTAGATCTTACCAGTCGTTACGATTTCTAGGACAGGGTCGTTAACACAGAGTAGGTACAGACGTTTCACTGAGCATGCACGAGTGAACGGATCTTACATCGTAACCGCATCCCATGCGGAAAAGGACTTATTTTAGATGCAATTATTCATATTAATTCAGCATGTTAGGTGTTGGTACACAAAACGCATCTCTTCCAAAGTGATGTAACACATTTGCATTCCAGTTCGGGTTGGGGGGGGGGGGGGGGAGGGCGTGCTAATTACACAACTGTCTGTCATCCGTTTAAGATTCCTGCGTTGTTAGGTATTATTCCGTGCGTCTGCACCTCTTGTAGAGGCACTGCTGTGAGAAATCCGGTCTCTACTGTTTTGATTTTTATGGCGTTCACTAGCTCCTTTTCTGGAGGTACTAAGAGCAACCAAGCAGCTAGTGGGAGAAAACAAACACCACCACGAGCAAAACCAACTGGAGGATAGGCTCCAGGTCCTTACGGGTGCGTTCGAGGCATTACAAACAGGAGATGGGCCAGGCTGGTCCACCTAATCCAATACCAGAAGCAGACGTGTCAGAAAGCGGAGGAGCAGGGAGAGGAGATTAATTTTTCCTAATACCCTTCCAACTTGCAGCCATGTTCACCTAAGGGACACTCAGAGGTGTTTACTCTAGTAGCACCCAGTGCATTTCTCTTTGGCTACTCTGTCCACACCTAGCATCCATGAGGTCCTGTGGCAGTGGGATATATGTATCTCATTTTAACATCTGCTGCAAGTTCTTAACCAGTTGTGCAGTTTAGGAGCTTCTGTCAGTACCTCCTCCCCTGCGGTCATCTTGTTAACAAGTCCGGGGGTGGAGGTGAGAAGGGCTGGGAACAAGCGTGTGTTTTGGCAGTGAAAAAAGCTGCACCGCCTCTCTCTCCCCCCGACACAGATGACTGCTGATGGCTAGGAAAGTATCAACTATGCACAGATTTTACAGTGGGAATCTTCACTCTCTTCAGATTATGGACATTCCTTTGGTCAGCACTGAAATGCCATTATTCAGTTTGCAGCGTAGTCAGGATGCGTTATTTAAATTTTAGTAGCACTGTATGTTTTTAAACCTCAAGCATTGGAAGCAAGATTTTTAAGAAGTCTACATAAATAAGTTAGTACCATCCTCAGGTCTTAGCAAGGCGACAGTTTTCTCTAGGGCCACGTCAGAAATTTGAGCATCATTTTGGAAATACCACTGGTTTCCTTTTTATTCCACAAACATAAATAACAAATAAAAATATACAGCTGTACATAAAGACCCCAGTAACTTCTTTAGTAAAATAATAACTCTAACCCGAGAGTTGAAAGCATTTTTCAATTCTATTTATGGCAAACAGGAGGAAGTTGGTTCGGTGGGTCTGATGTAAGCTCTCAGTGATCAGAAGAGAGAGACACACACACTCCATTTTTTACCTTCAATATCCTGGTTGTCTACAAAAGGCGCTGGTCCCCATATTCTAACAGTGCCATCGTCAGAGGCGCTGGCCATCATGGATGGAATCTGCGGGTTCCAGCTCACACAGTTAACAGTACGCGTGTGCCCCGTCAACTCCGCAATCGGCAGCTCGCTGCGCTTGTGCCAAATATATACTTTGTGATCTAAATGAAAATACGTGTTTAAAAAGACACGATGAGAAACGTCGCTCTGCACAGCCCAACGTGTCCTATCAAACCGCGCTTCCACGCAGGCTCTCAGCAACCAACAAACCCATTAACGTTGTAAAACCCGCGTCTGTCGAACGTGCATGACCAGTAACAAAGCTTTTCTTCTAAAAGCGACCCAACGAGCGTGGGTAAAGCCCTTCCACAAACAGGCACGTTCCCTTTTAAGGCTTGTAAGTCCACTATGCTTGGCATTCGAAGAAAAACCTTTGACTACAAGGCAAATAAGTCAGCACACACCTCAAGAGAGAAACCAAGCTACTCTACAGACTTATAACGTGAATCTGCAAGGCTTCCTTTTGCATGCGTTTTTTCCCAAAACAATCGTCTTTACAGATGAGTACATGCATAAAACCATGAGTACTAAGGCAGACTACTCACAGCCACCACCTGCTGATGAGCACTAGCTAAGATCACAGCTCTGCAGTTAGCAAAATACATCTTGATACTTTAGACCTAAAGGATTCCCGTGAAAGTGCAAACACGGCAAAGGAGGGAGCGAAACAGAGCTCAGCGTCTCAAACTGAGCCGCTGCTGCCTTCAACAACAATTCATTTTTGTCTGGTACTTGAAAGACAGGGGTTTGCACGTAAAGTAGATGCAATTAACAACCCTACAGATCTTACTTTGTGATAGGAAGCTTTTAATTACTCCTAGCAACATGCTAGAAATAGAACAGCGAACTACTCAGACACTCCACTGCAATTTTTAGAAGTGTTACTGCTTTGTAACCAAGCATATTTAAAAATAAATGACTAAAGGTGTTTTGGTTTGGGGTTCCCCTCCTCCCATCTGGAGACTTTTAATAAGCCTGTGGGTTGACCTCTCTAGGAATGTCTTTGGAATATTCCAGAGAGCTATACAAACTGAACATGTATTACTGGTATTACACAAAAGCCTCATATTTAGGTCTAGTGTATCAAATGAAACTATTTTAATCTATTAGAAAGGTTTTAATGTCCGTGTCCTTCTGAAGGCTTAGCAAACATCCTCATCCCAACCCCTTAAAAACAAACTTGCTCACTGACCTACCTGCTAGAATAGCATCATGGAACCATGCATAACTCAGTTGTCTGCTGCTGAATCAGCGCTTTTGAGTACAACACCTTTATATACACTTGTATGGATGCAAGTGTTCTGGTGGTGCTTACATTCCACTTGCTATTTCAAGAGACTACATATCCATGCTGTTCATCAAACACCACAATTCCCTCTCTGCTTAAACACTGGACAAGCCCCTGCTGTCCGGGAGAATGAAAGCCTCACCACAAACCAGGATTTCGACGCTTGTCAGAATGCCTGTATTTTGTTTTGGGAAACAAGTTTGCTAGGATAAGGCAGCAATTTCCCCCTTGGAAAGAGGCCTCCATTTTCTTCCTGTTGATCCAACTATTAGAAAACCCGTACCCAGCTGACACCAAGTTTAAGAGGGTATGAGCAACAACTTCTTTTTTAAATGGCCATGTAATCTGTTATTTTTGTTTTGATGGCTTTGTTCTTTATTTTAAGAAACAGACTTTCTCCGTAGCCACATTCGTAACAATTCAGTGCAGAGAGGCGACAGCGTCGGACAGCCCAACAGGAACAGGGTGCCAGCGGTTACACGCACTGCCTGGTAGTTTTCAGACAATGAGGATGATAATCCACAAACAGGGGAAAAAGAAAAAAGGGCTGGTGCACCACTGTAGTACCTACTCATGCACATTGGTACAACTTAACAGAAGTCCTGAACCTTTGGGTACTCGGGTCCCAAAGCAAGAACCTGGTCCTAGCATGGTAAGGTTCACACTGGATTCGAGGCGCTGTCCTTCAGTCCTTACATTCCACTGGGTTGGGTCAGAAGGTGACATTTTGGTTTTATCTTAGACTTATTTGGTGTTTTCCACAAAAGGATAGTAGTAATGTCCTGGTCAACCTAACTTCCTAGCAGCTGTGAGTTACAGTATTAACAGGGATTGCTTACGTATTCCAAGTGTAAATCTTGGCCGTCCATAGACTTGAATAAGTGACCTCCACAGGAGGTGATGGCATGACATCAGTGACAGAACTGAACCAATTCAACATCGACACCATTAACTAGAACCAATTCAACATCGACACCATTAACTAATTTCTATTCTTGCCACAGACAGTTGAATAACCATACCACAAAGCCTTTGATCACCAAGAAGCCCTACCAGACTATGTCAACAACTGCTTAATTTGAGACTACTCCTTCTGTAATTAAGCTGACTACTCTACTGAAATTACAATAACCTTACCACACCTGTATCTTCAACAGGCAAACAAAGCTGTTACTCCCCAGAAGTATTTTTGATTCAAACCATAAACCTAAGTATCATACCACAAAAAGAAAAAGCCTCAAGAACACCCCACCCACTTCTAATTAAAACTGTGTAGATGCTTTTGCTTTAGAGGAGCAACACTAAAGACTCACTAATTCTTTCTACTACTACCATCCTCTCAAAACATTCTGCTAGCACACAATTACTTTGTGAAGTATGCCACAATCTCAGTGCTCCTCAAACTTACCTAACGAACCAGTTGCCTTGACAGATGACAGCTGCTAACAACAACATCACAAAGATACAGGAAGGATACAGCATTCCAGTTTTCTGCATGAAAGACAGTGATGTTCCTTACCTTCGCTGCCACTCGCGATGAAATCTTCATTATGACCTCCAAAACACGAGTGAATTGTGTAAAATCCTTGTGTAACACCTTGATACTTTCTCACTAAAACTCTGTCTTGCAAGTCCCATAAGTGAACTCCCTGGGAATAAGAATGTTATATTATTGTTAAACATTAGTCATAGCATTCTTTTTAAACTCAAAAAAAGAAAGAAAACACAATGAAAGTACATTACTTCACCCATCTTCAACACTGTTTCTAGATCAAGAGAGTATAGAGAGACCAAATTACTAAATTAAGCTTCCAGTCTGTGGTCCCTTCCATTCTGAAAGCTCCTGTTCTTACCCAAGGTTCCAAAAGGAGAAGTAAATAAAACGTAATTCTCACACCCCCAGACACGCACGCCTGCCACAATTC